TTCCACCTTCTCACCAAGCTGCTTGGCAATGGTTTTGTAGCCCATTCCAGACTTGTGTAGGTCTACAATCTTGTCCCTGACATCCTTGAAGAGCTCTTTGGTCTTGGCCATGGTGGAGAGTTTGGAATCTGATTGCTTCTGTGGACAGGTGTCTTTTATACAGGTAACAGGCTGAGATTAGGAACACTCCCTTTAAGAGTGTGCTCTTAATCTCAGCTTGTTACCTATATAAAAGACACCTGGGAGAGAGAAATCTTTCTGATTAAGAGGGGGTCAAATACTTATTTCCCTCATTAAAATGCAAATCAATTTATAACATCTTTGACTTGCGTTTTTCTGGATTTTCTTGTTGTTATTCTGTCTCTCACTGTTCAAATAAACCTACCATTAAAATTATAGACTGATCATTTCTTTGTCAGTGGGCAAACATACAGCAGGGGGTCAAATACTTCTTTCCCTCACTGTAAACACTGTATGGTGTAAATTCAAAACTCTGGGTGTTAAATTAACACTGGCGATTTTGCTGTGTAGAATAGTAAATAATATATTACTTGATAAGCTGGTTGTTGACTGTCACCTGACACATTGTTAATAGTCTATAGATGGCTTGTTGCCTGTTCGAAGTTCAAAGAGTGTCTACACTAGCTGCATTTACATGGACAACAATAATCCACTCTTAACCCGATTAAGTAAGTGGGGAAAAATACATGTATCTCAGCAACTATATAGATGGTAAGTACGTGGATTGAGACGCAGCCCACAGCTACAAGCAGTTGTCTATTAGCACATATAGCATGACAAATGATTAACTGCATTTAAAGCGTTCGTAAAAATTTTTTTTAATAAAAACACCCAAAACTGTATTCGGTACCATAACGAAGACGAACTGTATGTTGATACGTGATATTCTGGAGGGATGTCGGATGGCGTGGCGTGGTGATGTAATGATGTGGCCTGTTAATCTAATTGTGTTCTATAACATGTAAAATGGGAACATGACATGAGTATTCTAAAAGCGACTCATGTAAACACCTTAATCACATTATTATTCTTAATCAGAGCAAGGTTAATAATTACATTACTGCTGTCCGTGTAAACGTAGTCAAAATTACCTAGGGAATTTCTCTTCTTCTTTGGCCCCTTATTGTGTGGTGTTACTCAGGGCTCCATATTGGGTCCTCTGTTGTTTTCCCTTTATATGCTTCCCCTGGGTTCTATTTTTCAGAAATATGAAATTTCCTTTCATGGCTATGCTGATGATACCAAGTCATATTTCTTCTGCTCTTGAGGCCCAATTAGGTCCTCTCTCTGTTAAGGAATATGTCAAAAACCTTGGAGTTATTTTTGACTCAAACTTGCACATTGATTAACAAATCAGTGCTGTTGGTAAGGGAAGCTTCTTTCATTTAAGATCTATTGCAAAGTTAGAACAGTTTCTCTCTTAAAACAACCCTAGAAACTTTGATTCATGCTCTTGTGATTCATTACATCATGGTTTGACTACTTTAATTCTTTGTATGTTGGCATTCCTCAATCTGAATTATCATGTCTGCTGCTTGTGCAAAATGCAGCAGCTAGATTTTTTACAGGGACCAAAACGAGGGATCATATTTCCCCTATTCTGGCATCACTTCACTGGATTCCTGTCAAGTTTAGAATTGATTTTAAAATTCTAATTTAAGTCTCCCTTTTTACGTGATGTCCACTATATCTTTAGCTATTTTTAAAACTTATTTTTATTATTTGTATTATAATGTTATTTAATGTGATGAATTTTAACGTTTTATATATTACTTTGGATCAACTGCTGTTGTATTTAAATGCACTTCTTAAAAAAATTGGACTTGACTTAACTGGATATTTTATTGCTAACAGTGTATCATACAGTTCCTTGATATATTCATGCTAAACTACGCATTTGCCTACAGAACTCTCTCTATATATTTTTCCATTTCTGTCTATTTATCTGCTCTTTCTCAGTTTTCTGTTCTCTTTTTCTGTCTCAGGATCTGAGCAGTGTTCCTGGATAATAATTGCTGACACACCAAAGCCAACATTGCACACAGGGCCCTTTAATAGTTTTCATTTTTCTTCCTTACAGGCTGGCCTCAGCTCTGCTATTATGAATGATCAGATCCTAGCCACAACTGAAGTCTCTCTCTCTCTCTATCTCTCTCTCTCTCTCTCTCTCTCTCTCAGGCTGACCCACGCCTCGCTGACCATTATCTCTCCCTGTGTCTCCCCATCGTCCCATTTACTCCATCTCCCCACACAGACGATTTATATGAAAGACTTTCCCTTGGCTTTCATCAGAGCCCAGGTAGCAAAGCCCATTTCATGACATTAATTCGCCCCCTTTGCCGACCCCGCCACATCAATTCAGCACTTTACAAACTATTTCAGGAATCCGATTTATCAGGCCTGACAGAACTTTTCGGCCTGATATAAGCAGTGCTGGTCTAGCCTGCGCTCCGATTTATCATTATCTTATTTGAAAGCCTAAAAATCCCCTGACATTATTAATAGTAAGATGAATCGCTAGGAAACTAGCAAATATGTGACCAGCGAGGCTGAAATAATCCATTTGGGACAGGAATTTGTGTCTGGGTGGAATTGTATTCCCTTTTGGCTAGCTTTACTGTCGTTTCTGTCCCCATATGCATGGGTGGCTATGTACTGAAGCATACACTGCTAAAAGATTATGACACTTATCCCACTAGGCCACTCCACCGGCTCACTACTAAGCAGGAACAAAAGGGACAAATTACATCTTGGCTCCAGCAGTGGGAATTCAAGGCTTTTGATGTGCCTCGGGTTGAGGCGAATTAACTCATTTAACCCTTTAAATACTAATAGTTCTATGCCTATTTGTGCCTTTTCTTTAACAGAGACACATTGATGATGTCCACAGACCTGTTCCTGAATAATAAGATTATTATTGGTGTAGTGACTATATAGCAATGTCTATGACTGACCAAAATGTTTAGTTTGAAAACTGTGAACCTACCATTTACTGTAAAACAAATAAATAAATAAAAAGTTCTGCCTTTGAACAGCAAATTAATAAACATGCTAAATCTTTATAATCTAAACAATTTAACAATACATTACAAATATTGCTAAACTGTGAAGCTATGAGTGGAATCATGTGTGTTTAGCAAGATCTTTGATAACTTTTTAAAAAATATTGAGTAATGTATAAGAATAATATATAGTACTATTTAAGACGTGACTTTTAGGTGTTAGTGAATCACTGTTCTAAAAGCCCCAGAAGGTGTGAAATGAAAAGCCTGACCCTCAAAAAATGACCCTAAAAAAATTCGTATTCTAAAATTCTAAAACGTTTAATGTGTCATTGGTGTAATGGGTAAGGTACTGGCTTCCTAGGCCTGAAACTAGGCCTGAGTTTGAGACCTGTCTGGTGTGAGCAGTTAGCAGAGTGGTGCTGCAAAAGTGTGCTGGGCCCATAACCCAGAGTTTGATAGATTGACACCATCCTCTGCTAGTTCCAGTCAGTTTTATTCCCAAATTTCCCCACAGGGACAATAAAGTACATTTATCTATCTGACTGAAAATGTATTAGCTCATTGGACAAAAGACTAGCTACAGAGCTATAAGCATTAGATCAGACAAGGGAGAATTTTCACACACTTGCATCGATCTTTCATTTTATTTACCCTCTCTAGTAAAAAAGAGTAATATGTGAAACAAAACATAATCGCATCTGATTGTCCCATTTATAGTCATGAACTAATCACTAATGGTTCAGCATTAAAAGGTAAATGTGGTCTCCAGCTGGAACTATTTAGATGCCTTCTAGAAATTCTGGCTAAATAGAATACTAGAATAGTAAATAATAAATTACTTCATAGCCTGGTTGATGATGGACACCTGACAGGCTGTTAACAGTCTTTAGAAGGCTATCATTTATAGATGGCTTTATAAGATAAGATAAGATGTGCCTTTATTTATCCCCCATAGTGGTATTTGAGTTGACAGCAGTACGAGGAGGATTAAAGAAGAGAATTTCCATAAATACCTATACATCAGAAGTAAATAATACAGAAATAAAAAATAATATATATAGTCTCATTTATAAGCTAGCCATAAACCTCCAACCACCATCTGACCTTTAAAACTGTACAAAATGAGCCCTGATTTTCACTGTTCTGTCGCTAGTATAGGATTGATGGATGTCTGTGTATCACATAGACAAGTACATAGAGCTTATAGGAATAAAATAAGACCTGCCCCCTGTACCAGTTCCAGTCCACATCACAGTATGATACCCATATCTAAGACTCAGATATCAGAGCTGTTTTAGTAAGAATGAATGCTGGTAAGTAAAAATAGAAAAGGGAACAAACAGTTCTCAAAGTTGTTGGAGGCAGGGAAAATGGGCAAGTGTTAAGATCTGAGTGACTTTGACAAGGACCAAATTATGATAGTTAAAACGACTCGGTCAGAGCATCAACAAAATGGAAAAGTCTTGTATGTTGTTCCCGGTATACAGTGGTTAGTACCTACCAAAAGTGAAGAGCCACTATAGCACAACTGCTGAAAAAGTTAATGCTGGCTATAATGTAAAGGTGTCAGAACATGGTGCATCACAGCTTGCTGTGTATGGGGCTTTGAAGCTGCAGACAGGTCTGAGTTCCCATGCTGACCCCTGTACACCACTGAAAGCACGTGAGCATCAGTACTGGACCATGGATCAATATATGGAGGTGGCTCTGCCTGATGATTCATGTTCTCTTTTACATCATGTGGATGGCTGTGTGTGTGTGTGTCACTTACCTGGGGAAGAGACAGCACCAGAATGTACTATTGAAAGAATGCAAGCTGGCGGAAGCAGTGTGATGCTCTGGCTACCAATAAATGCTACCAAATAAAAATATCACATCCTTAAGACCCAGCAAAGTATTTCAGCTGACCAAACTATGTACTTATAAAAAAAATAATAATACAGTAACAGAGACAATAAATAAGCTAACGTGATTAGCAGGGTGGCACAGCAGAATCGTGCTGGGTCCATAATCCTGAGGTTGATGGATCAAAACCATCCTCTGCTAATGCCTTTTATGTTAAATTCCTAAATTTCCCTCTAGGGATCACCCACATAAAGTACATCTACCTAACTTACTATAAACAAGAGAAGAACAAGAAACTAGCTACTGAGCTACAGGCATTAGGTCAGATAAGGGACAGTTTTCACATATTTTTAATAATAAAAAAAAGTTAATAACGTAAAGCGAAAGAAAACATAACCACTTTGAACTGTCTCATAGCCATGAACTAATCACTAATAGTTCAGCATTAAAAGTTAACTGTGGTCTCCAACTGGAACTATTTACATGTCTATTAGAAATTCGAGTTTAATACTACAATACTACAATAGTAAATAATAAATGACTTGATGGGCTGGGGGCGCACGGTGGCTTAGTGGTTAGCACGTTCGCCTCACACCTCGGGGTTTGTGGAGTTTGCATGTTCTCCCTGTGCTGCGGGGGTTTCCTCCCCCTGTCCAAAGACATGCCTGGTAGGCTGATTGGCGTGTCTAAAATGTCCGTAGTGTAAGAATGGGTGTGTGAGTGTGTATGTGACTGTGCCCTGTGATGGACTGGTACCCTGTTCAGGGTGGACCCCGCCTTGTTGTTAACAGTATATAGATGATTATCATTTATACTAGTGGATTTTTTTAATCATTTATAAACTAACCACATATATACAGTGGTGTGAAAAAGTGTTTGCCCCCTTCCTCATTTCCTGTTCCTTTGCATGTTTGTCACACTTAAGTGTTTCGGAACATCAAACCAATTTAAACAATAGTCAAGGACAACACAAGTAAACACAAAATGCAATTTGTAAATGAAGGTGTTTATTATTAAAGGTGAAAAAAAATCCAAACCATCATGGCCCTGTGTGAAAAAGTGATTGCCCCCCTTGTTAAAACATACTATAACTGTGGTTGTCCACACCTGAGTTCAATTTCTCTAGCCACACCCAGGCCTGATTATTGCCACACCTGTTCACAATCAAGGCATCACTTAAATAGGAGCTGCTTGACACAGTAAGGTCCACCAGAAGATCCTTAAAAGCTACACATCATGCCGAGACCCAAAGAAATTCAGGAACAATTGAGAAAGAAAGTAATTGAGATCTATCAGTCTGGAAAGGGTTATAAAGCCATTTCCAAAGCTTTGGGAATCCAGCGAACCACAGTGAGAGCCATTATCCACAAATGGCGAAGACATGGAACAGTGGTGAACCTTCCAGGAGTGGCCGGCACCAAAATTACCCCCAAGAGCGCAGCGACGACTCATCCAAGAGGTCACAAAAGACCCCACAACAACATCCAAAGAACTGCAGGCCTCACTTGCCTCAGTTAAGGTCAGCATTCATGCCTCCACCATCAGGAAAAGACTGGGCAAAAATGGCCTGCATGGCAGAGTTCCAAGGAGAAAACCACTGCTGAGCAAAAAGAACATGAAAGCTCGTCTCAATTTCTCCACAACACATCTTGATGATCCCCAAGACTTTTGGGACAACATTCTGTGGACCGATGAGACAAAAGTGGAACTCTTTGGAAGGTGTGTGTCCAAGTATATATCCGGCGTAGAAGGAACACTGCATTTCATAAAAAGAACATTATACCAACAGTAAAATATGGTGGTGGTAGTGTGATGGTCTGGGGCTGTTTGTGCTGCTTCAGGACCTGGAAGACTTGCCATGATAAAAGGAACTATGAATTCTGCTGTCTACCAAGAGATCCTGAAGGAGAATGTCCGACCATCTGTTCGTGTACTCAAGCTGAAACGAACTTGGGTTCTGCAGCAGGACAATGATCCTAAACACACCAGCAAGTCCACCACCGAATGGCTGAAGAAAAACAAAATGAAGACTTTGGAGTGGCCTAGCCAAAGTCCTGACCTGAATCCTATTGAGATGTTGTGGTATGACCTTTAAAAGGCCGTTCATGCTCGAAAACCCTCTAATGTAACTGAATTAGGACAATTCTGCAAAGATGAGTGGGCCAAAATTCCTCCAGGACGCTGTAAAAGCCTCATTGCACGTTATCGCAAACGCTTGGTTGCAGTTGTTGCTGCTAAGGGTGGCCCAACCAGTTATTAGGTTTAGGGGGCAATCACTTTTTCACACAGGGCCATGATGGTTTGGATTTTTTTTCACCTTTAATAATAAACACCTTCATTTACAAATTGCATTTTGTGTTTACTTGTGTTGTCCTTAACTATTGTTTAAATTGGTTTAATGTTCCGAAACACTTAAGTGTGACAAACATGCAAAGGAACAGGAAATGAGGAAGGGGGCAAACACTTTTTCACACCACTGTAACGTACCATTGCCTGACCTCTAAAACTGTACATAACGAGGCCTGATTTTCAGCAATCAGTGGAATTGATGGGTGTGTGTGTATCACAAAGACAAGCAGTGTAATTACCAGTGTGGTGCTCTGAGTATTACCGGCAGTGTAAATGCTACCGTGTTTAAAAAAAATGCTACCAAGGTATTAAAAAAAAGTATTTCAGTTGACCAACTCGAGTACTATACATCAGTGGCCTAATGGAAAAGGCACTAGACTCCTAAGCCTGGGAGTGTTGGTTTACGTCCCATCTGTGGTGAATGGTTAGCAAAGTGTTGCAGTGGAAGCTTGCTGGACCAATAATGTAGAGGGCAATAGCTCAAAACTATCCTCTGCTAATCTCTGTCTAATTTATTCCCAAATTTCCCCTCAGGGACTATGAAGTACATCTGTATATCTTTCTTTAAACCAGAGAAGAACAAGACACTTGCTACAGGTGCTTTGAACTGTATATATACATTACAGTGTAAAATCTAGAGTACTGGGTACTGCTATATGTGACGTAAAGAGAGATCAATTACACTTTTAAAATGGCTGATATCTTTTTGGTATTGTAGGAGAACTGAAGTAAATGGGTGTAAACTTTAAGACAATTTAGGATGTTCTGGTTTCTCTGTAAAATGACAGATTCGAGTGAGAGAAAAAAGAGAATATGTTGAGAGAAAGACTGTTCTAACTTGCTCCACAAAATTAATGTAGCTATAAATTAGTTAAGTAAGACATGTCATTCAATAATACAGTAAAAACTGTTGGAAATTGCTGTGGTATAAAAGGAATAGAATATTTAGGGACATGCTTTTAGGAAAATAATCAGTACATCTGCTTCACGTCGGGGTGCATCACAGCACCTAGTATTAGAAATAATTAATATTTTATGGAAGATTACTTATATAATGTTCAAATTATTTAAAAGTAAACACTTGAAATAAGAGTGCAAACACAAACACCTGCTATCAGGAAGATAGTGACCGGTATCAGACACATATTTCACACAAACATACACACACACTCCGAATCACATTAGTCAAGGCACATAAAGGAAGCATACTTCCACCTGAGTGCTGTCCTGGTTTAGCACAGTTTGTTTTCTAGCAAGCTTCTCAGTGTTCCCAGACACACATACACACACTCACACACACACACACATTCTGGCCTCTGCAGCTATTCTCTGCTCTCCATCACACACTGCAGCTAACACAGCTGAACAGCAGGGCCCGCTGAGAGCCAAACGACAGTTTGATTACTCCCTTGCTGCTGATGCGTTATATTTCGATGCTCTTACGTCCTCATGCGCTCTGCCGTCTCTCCGAGGCATACTGATGAAACTGCTTATTGTTTCTGGGTGCTTTAAAATATCTGCGTAATGTCAATTTAAAAAAAAATATTTGGTGTATTAAATAAGTCATGGTTTGATATTTGAACTATATTTTACATTTACGACATTTAGTGCAAACACATTCTATGTAAAGAGCTGAGGGGATAGATAGATAGATAGATAGATAGATAGATAGATAGATAGATAGATAGATAGATAGATAGATAGATAGATGGATGGATGGATGGATGGATGGATGGATGGATGGATGGATGGATGGATGGATGGATGGATGGATGGATGGATAGATAGATAGATAGATAGATAGATAGATAGATAGATAGATAGATAGATAGATAGATAGATAGATAGATATCATAACATACAGGATATACTGAACGCTATTAGGAATTAAAAACTTGAGTGCATGTTGTTATTGGAAAATAATCAACAACAGGGTGATGGGAAATCATTAAATTTAGCACCTTAAAGTCGTCACAAAATGTTTATACAGTATCAGTTTGCTGAGTTTTTTTTCTTATTAAAGAATGACATCATACATTTTTATCCATTTAATGTTACATTTACCAGAGACCCTGTAGGATAAGCGGTATAGAAAATGCATTGTTACATTTAATGTTGTGTCTAATAGGCCCTGATATCATTGATGTTATATGCAAAGTGGGGCTTGGTGGTATAACGTTTTATGAACACCACTTATAATAGATCAAATTAACAATTTATACTGGCTCAAGAAGGCATCATAACAAGATATGAATGTGCTTATAGTTTATAATAGATCTAACCTTTATAGAGTGTTGCAGACATTGCATGATTTATTGCAACATTAATGCGAAACATTGCAGACATTTTGGTTTATGACATTTTTGGAGCATGAGGCATTACAGTAAATGTCACAGCAATTGACAATATGATGTTTCAGGCACATATTTATATTTATTATATCAAATTTCAGTATGGGGATATAGACAGTTAATAGAGGATGTGCCATTGAGAAATTTTGCCCCATTAATGGGTATATTGTCACACTGGAATATTCAGCACATAAGAACATGTTAGTGTAAATATATTTAAACATGTTTTACAATTTTTCATTTCAAATTCATAACTGAATACAACTTAACTGGAGGGTGGCATGTGTGCATGTGTGTGTGTATGTGTGTGTGTGAGTGTTTGTGTGTGTGTTATGTTTCATGATACACTATACAAAAGTAGGCTCTGTATATTTAGTATCAGCGGTGTAATGTGCTATGAGTATTACTTATAATGCATCATGTTAACAGTTCATAATGATTGATAAATATAGCTATAAACTGCAATTCACTTTCATAAATTCTTTTAACAAAGAATATAAT